AGTGAGTGTCGGAGTTCACAAGCGCGTTCAGAAAGTACTATTTTGCAGTTTGGTAATATATTTTATTATTAAAAATGTCGGCAAAAACAATAGAAGACATTGCAATGCATGTAATGCAATGCGCATTTGACATATTGACGTCAATGCATATTCGGAGTGTGTTGCTGCGTATACGGGAAAACGTAGACAACATAGATTTGTTTTATCAAATCGCGCATCGAATATCGAACACGTACCTCGCAACATTGCACGCGCTGGGATATTTTGATGAAGATCCCCGATTATTGCACATCGCGTGCAAAGTAGTGGAATTTTGCACGGCGCTCCAACACGAAGAAAAAGATGTGCGAGGACGAATCGCACGAATGATGCGTGATAATATGTGTGAGTAAAAGTTTTATATTTGTTAAAATATTATTTTTACATTTGTAAAACTTTTTTGATATACTGCATGTTTCATTTACTTTAGTGAACAATCGTAACAAAGTAATGGCAAACGAAGAAGAAGCTGCACCGACGTCATCCCGTTTTGCTTCTCGTCAGCAGCAGCAAGTTGCGAGCGTATCACCCCGTGTGGAACCTCTGTCGGTAGCTAGGGTGTTGCCAATGCAACGCCCTGCTCCTACGGCCCAACGTCGCCGACGAGAGGGGTCAGAAGAAGAAGCAAACGAACTTCCGCTGCGTAAGTTGAAAACCAATAAAACAAGAATTACTACCTTTTAGAATAAAAAATATATTAACTAGTGATTTTCACATTTTAGGAAAAGCCCGTAGAGATAAAGCGGAGCTTTCTTCTCTTCCTTCTCCTCCTCTTGTTGATTCCAGTAAGTAAATTAACTAAATAGTTAAACATAATGAAAAATAAAAAAAAATTAAAAAAAATTGGACTTCCGCTTTCGGCGCAATAAAGTGTAGACGTGGTGTTAGATCGAGGGCGTAATAGAATAAGAGTAGTAAGAGTAAGAGGAGTGGAGAGTGAAAAAGGTGGAGTGGCGAGTGGTTGGAAGGGTGCGGAGAGCGAGGGTGAGTGAGGGGTGAGAGGGCGGTGTAAGAGTGTGAAGGGTGGAGGCCGGTTTTGTAAGACGAGAGTATAAGGTTAGGCATAGAGTAGAGTGGATATAGAGTGATAAGTAGGACGGGAGAAAAGTAACTAGAGATAAGAGGCTAGGGAATTGGAATAGCGGCACGAACAGTAGGAGAGAAGAGTGATTGGTGCAGGGGGCCTTAAGCCTCTAGGGGGAAAAACAGGGCAGAAATGATGAGCAGAAGAGTAAAAGAGGGAGAAGCGAGGGAAAGAAACAGAAGTGCAAACACAGGGAGCATTGAAGATTTTTTGAGGAAGAGAAAGAGAGAGAGGAAGGGAGAGGAGGAGGAAAAAAAGGAAGAGGAAGCGTTTAACAAAAGCAGAAAGACGCAGAGGTCGCCGATAGGACAGAAGGAGACAGAGAGGGAGGAGAAAAGAAAAACGAGTATGGAGGATGTAGGAGGTGGAAGAGAGGGGGCAGTGGCAGAGAAGGAGGTGGGGGATTAGAAAGAGGAGATGAAGGAGATGAAAGAGATGATGAAGGATATGATGGAGGGATTGAGGGATTTGAAGGGGATAAAAAAGGAAATAAGAGAGCATGGAAGAAGTATGAAGGAGGAGATGGAGGGGTTTAGAAGGGACATGAAAGAGAACGAAAAAAGATGGAAGGAGGAAAGGAAAAGTTTAAAAGAGGAAATCAAAGAACTGAAGAGAAGAGTGGAGGAGATGGAGGTGAGAAGTGATGGGAAAAGGAGATAGGTAGGGAAATGGTATAGGTGAGAGTAAGGAATGAGGAGCAAAGAAATGAGGTGATGAGGAAGAAAAGCAATTTAAAGGGGAGGAGGGAAAGGATAGTAGAAGACTGGACGTGGAAGGAAAGGAGGATGAGATGGAAATTAGAGGAGATCGCGAGGAGGGAGATGAGAAAAAGAAGGAGAGTGGGGATAAGATATGGAAAGTTAAAAATAGAGGAGAAATGGTGGATATGGGATGAAGAGGAGGAGGTACTGAGAGATGGATGGGGAATGATAAGAGAGGAGAGAGAGGGGGAAGACAAGGAAGTATAGAAAAGAGAAAATGGAGGAGAGAAAGGGGGGAAGAGAGAGGATCAGAAAAGCTTGGGGAGGGGAGGGAGAGTGGAGGCAGGTAAGAGAAGGGAAGAGAGAGTGGATGGTTGGAAGATGATGTTTTGGAATGTTGCGGGAATGAGGAATAAAGATAAGGAGTTCTGGGAGAGCCTGAGGAAATGGGAGGTTTTGGTGCTAACAGAAACATGGGTGGAAAAGAAAGAATGGGAAAGAGTAAAGAATAGGTTACCGAAGGGCTTCAGTTGGGGGATACAATGGGCTACAAAGGAAAGGAAAAGAGGGAGAGCAAAAGGAGGAATGGTCATGGGAATAAGAGATACTTGGGTGGAGGGAGAGATAAAGTTTGTGGTGGGAACGGAAGGAGCATTGATGAGTGAGATGAGAGTGGAGAAAGAAAGATGGAAAATTATAGGTGTGTACGTGAATAAAGGAATAGAAAAGATGATAGGGAGGATAGAAGGATGGACAGATAAGAGGGAAGAGGATAGTATGTTGGTGATTGGAGGAGATTTTAACGCGAGGGTGGGGAGAGAAGGAGGAGAATTTGAGGGGGAGGAGGGGGAGAGTAGGGAAAGGAAGGCAAAGGATGGAAAAATAAATGCGGAAGGGAAGAAGTTAGTGAGGTGGGTAAAGGAGAATGGATGGGGTATTTTCAATGGATGCACAAAGGGGGATGAAGAGGGAGAATATACTTTCACGGGAAAGAAAGGTAATACGACAATTGATATGGTGATAGGAGGGGAAGAGGTGAGAGAAAAAATAGAAAAGTTGAAGATAGGGGACAAGATAGATTCGGACCATCACCCGGTAGAATTATGGATGAGGGGGAAACGGAGAAGAAGAGAAAGACAAGGCAAAGAGAGGAAGGTATGGAGGGGGATATGGGATGAGGAAGGGAGAAAACAATTTAGGAAAAAGATGAGGGGGTTAAAGGCAAGAAATGGAAAAATGGAGGAGATTTGGAAAGGTATGGAAGAAAGTGTAAAAAAGGCGCTGAAGGAAATAGAGGAGGAAAGAGGAAAGGAAGCAGGGGGAAGGAGACACAAAGGTTGGTGGGATGAAGAATGTAGAGAGGAAAAAAGGAAAGTGAGGAAAAAGTTGAGGGAATGGAGGAGAAGAGGATTAAACGAGGATGGATATAAAAAAGGAAAGAGGGAGTTTGCAAAATTATGTGAAGGAAAAAAGAAAGAGGAGAGAGAAAGATGGGAGGATAAAGTTAAAATGGCGAAAAGGGAAAATGAGGTATGGGAAATCGTGAACAGAGAGAGAAGGGGAAGAAAAAGAGTGAACGAGGATATTGATATGGAAGAGTGGAAGGAGTACTTTATGAGGTTACTGGGAAGGGTAGAGAGAAGAGTGGTGAGACGAGCGGAAGGAAGAAGTGTAGAGAGGGATGAGGAGGAGGAGATAGGAAAGGAAGAGATAAAAAGGGCAATTAGAAAGTTGAAGGAGGAGAAGGCGTGTGGAATAGACGGTATTCCTGGAGAGGTCTGGAAGTATGGAGGAGAAGAGATGGAGAGTTGGATAGGGAATTTTTGCAATAGAGTGTGGAAAGGAGAAAGTTGGCCAGAAGAATGGAAAGAAGGAACTATAGTACCCATAGTGAAAAAGGGAGAAGGACAGAAGGTAGAGGAATACAGAGGGGTAACCCTAATGTCTTCATTATACAAGATATATGTGATGATACTGGCGGAAAGACTGAAAGAGGACTTGGAGGAGAAGAGAATAATACCACACAACCAAACGGGCTTCAGAAAAAAGATGGGAACAATAGATAATAGTTATACGATAAATTATCTAATTAATAGGAAGATAGCGAAGAAAGGAGGAAAGATGGTGGCACTCTTTCTGGACCTAAAGGCCGCATTTGACTCGGTGGACAGAAGCAAATTGATAGAGGCGATGAAAGAAAGAGAGGTAAAAGAAGGGATAATTAAAAGAGTAGAACGGGTATTAAGGGAGACGAAGTGTAGGGTGAAGGTAGGAGGGGAGGTGGGGGGTTGTTTCTGGACGACGAGAGGGGTGAGGCAGGGGTGCTAACTGAGCCCGATGCTATTCAATATCCTACTAGCGGACTTAGAGGAGGAAATGAGAAAGATAAGATGGGGAGGGGTGAGGTTAGGGGAGGAGAGGGTATATACGCTGGCATATGCGGATGATATGGTGATGATGGCGGAAGGAGAGGAGGAAATGAAGAGCATGATAGAGAGGCTGGAGACGTATCTGGAGAAGAAGAAAGTGGAACTGAATGTGGAGAAAACAAAGGTGGTAAGATTCAGGAAAGGAGAAGGAAGAGAAAAAAAGAGGGTATGGAGGTGAAAGGGAAAGAGAATCGAGGAGGTAAAGGAGTTTAAGTACTTAGGATATGTGTTGAGGAAGAATGGGAATCAGGAGGGGCAGGTGAAGGAGAGAGGAAGGAAAGCAGCGGCGGTAATGGGGCAGGTGTGGGGCATTGGGAAGAGAAGATTTGGCAAGGATTGGGGAAAGAGGCTATGGTTATTCGACAGGTTGGTATGGACAGTGATGAAATATGGAGTGGAGATTTGGGGATGGAGAGAGAGAGAAGAGCTAGAGAAAATAGAAGAGAAATATTTGAGGTCGGTTCTGGGGGTAGAAAGGAAACCACCGGAGTACTTAGTGAGAGAGGAGCTCCAAAGGGAGAAACTTTGTGTAAGAGCTGGGAGAAGAGCTTGGGAGTATGAAAGAAGGCTAGGAGAGGGAAGAGGAAGCGTAATAGCGAGGAGATGCTAGGAGGAGATGAGGAAAAGAGCGAGAAAGGGAAGAGATTTATCAGAATGGGAAAAAGAAAGAATGGAGTGCTTTGAAAGAATAGGAATAAAGAGAGAGAAGATGGAGAAGAGCCTAAAAGAGATAGAGAAGGGAAAAGTATGGAGTGGAGAGTGGGAAAAAAGAGAAAGGATCAGGCAGGAGGAAGAAAGATGGGAAAAGATAAAGGATTCGAGTTACAACAGGTGGTACAAAATGGTAAAGGGGGGGGTAGTGCAGGAGTATCTGAAGAAAGGGTGGAAGAAGAAAAGATGGTCAAGGTTGGCGAGGTTTAGGCTAGGGAATGACGTAGGAGAGAGAAAATATTGGGAGAAAAAGGAAGAGAAGTTGTGTAGATTGTGGGGGGGAGGAAGAAACATGGGAACACATTTGGGAGGAATGTAGGAGTAGGAGAGACGGAAAAGAGAGCTGGCAGGAAGCGGTGGTGTGAGTGCTAGGACAGAAAGGAGAAGGAGAATTTTAGCTTAAGGAGTTGGAGAGGAAAAGAAATGGGGAAGGAGAGGGAGGGAAGTGGGGTCAAGAGCATACAGGAAGATAGAGGGAGAGTCAGGAGCGGAGAGGAAGGAAGAAGCGGAGTGGGGAGAGAGGGGAAGGTGAGATTGGGAGCGCGGAGAGGAGTAATCGGGGGAGGAAAGGAGAAATGGAAAAGGAAGCGAGAGGAAGCGGAAATCTGGAGGGGGGATGTGTGTGTGTGGAGAGAGTGGATGAGAGGGCGAGGTGACTCGGCCTCTCATCAGCTCGAAAGAGAAGGGTAGGTTAAGATTAAAGATAAGTGCGTATAGGATAAGATTAGATGTAAGAGGTAGGGTTAAGGATTGTTGAGTATTAGATTTAAGTGCGTATTAGATAAGGGTAGATGTAAGATGTACTGTTAAGGTGTATGGTTACGAGAAATGGCAAAGAAAGATGTAAAGGAAAATATATCAAGAAATAGAGCGTTGTAAAAGTTTTGGGAACGTTTCTTGAAAAAACGCCTTGTGAGCCTGGTATGCCGGGAATCAATAAATTAACTACTACTACTACTACTATATAAAAAAATTATATATATACTTATATATATTAATTTTCAGATGATGAAGTGCAGATGGTGTTGGAAGTGTGGTATCCGCCAGGGACATTACCTGACCATTTTCGACAGAAAGAAGCGGAAGAAGAACAGCGTCAATGGGCGGTGGAGGAGCTTCGAAGAAGGCGGCTGGAAGCGCAAATGGAANACGAGCGCTACGAGCGGGAAACAGTCCGTCTCTTGTCGGAAATCGAAAACGAGATCATTGCCAACAACAACGACAACAACGGCGTCGTCGACGAGTACGATGACGACAACAACGATGATGACGAGGATGCCGACGACAACAATGACGCCGACGACGAAAACAACGACACCGATGACGAAGACGAACGCCCCGTGATTATTTCGGAAACGGAAGATTCTATTGTAGAAATATCGGAGAGAGAAGGTTAGAATAGTATTTAATATAATTGTAATATATATATATATATATAAGTGTACAGTTATGTAATATATAAGTGATATAATAAAAAAAAGGAATAAAAGAACCAATTAGCGATATAAATTAGGTAGACACTTTATTTAATTGAATAAATATACGTTTAATATATATACTCGTTGTCCTACTTATTTAATTGTCCTGTATAAACGTAAAATTACGCTAAGAAATATCACATAAAAATAAATTTTTGAAATTAATATCGAGCATAACTAAGTTTCATTCATATTGTGCATGTCCAAAAGCGTTTTTCTTATGTTACGCGGTAAAAATTGACGCGATAAGAAAAGTCACACACTCAGTATATTTTTCATTAAATTAGACTTAAATTTTTATTTTCATAACATATTTATTTCTATAACAATATATTTACAACAGCTTCTATACAACACGTATATGTGAATTTAATCAAATGTAATTGAAGCGTCTGTCTAATGTATCAATAATTGGTTCGTTTACTGTCGTTTGATAATCGCTTGTTAATATATTGAGAATTTTTGTATTAAGCTTTTGTATTTTCAGTGCAATACGAAGGCGGAATTGTAAATGTTGCGCCAGAAAATAGTAAACAGGACGGCACCTAGCGCAGCGACGACACCGTCGAGCATTACACCGGCAGCAGTGCTACTCCCCCCGACAGCGCTGCCGAGAGAAACAACAGCGACGACATGACCAACACCGGCAGTGCTACTCCCGCCACCCCCGACAGTGCTGCCGATGACGAGAGAAGTGAACAGATTGGTAAAAATAATAATAATAATTATACATGTATTGTATTACGGACGGAAAACGCGCGTAGATTTAAAAAATTCGAGGTAATAGGGAGAGAGGCGACATTTGAGATCCGCGAAATTCAGTCTGGTGCTGAAATAGTAGAATGGGTGGAGGGTGCGTTTCGCGAAATTCACAGATACGCGACAAATTTATCGGAGCCGAATGATTACGTTGGGGTGTGGTTCGACACCCCGACTTTGACCAACGGTGCAGCGGGTCTTTCTTTTCGTCCTGCGCGTGACTTGACTCACGAGAATATTTGGTCTCTCGTGAGTTCGGTTGCGCAAAGTAACGGAGGGATAGACATCGCTACGTCGTTTACGATACGCGTATGCACCGTCCACTCTCCGTCGGGCAAAGGAGGCCGTCCTTTGGGCGCGGAAGGAATCGAGAAACGCTCGATTCTTTCAATAACGAATAGCAACAACCTCTGTTTCCCTCGCTCACTCGTTGCCGCTCGGGTATACCTCGAACGAGGTAACACCCGCACGGGCGAGCTACATGAGCGATTGAATGCAATGAGACGTTCGAACTCGTCCTTACAACGCCAATGGGCACAGGAGTTGGTGGAGAGAGCAGGCGTCACAATTCCGGAGGAGGGCTGTGGTATTGGAGAAATTGAGCGATTTCAACGGTACCTTGCCGGGGAGAGGTTAGCTATAATTGTTTACGCCTCGTCTACTTTCGCGAAAGGCGGAAAACCGTTGTACGACGGTGGTGCGTTGCTCGCCTCTCTCGGACGCGAATCCTTGCTACGTTTAAATATTCTTTATTGCGAGGGTTCGCGTCACTATTGTCCAATTTTAAATTTAAGAGCGGCGGCGGGGAGCAGGGGATACTGCATTCCTTACAACCTGCCTTATCGTCCCAAACGAGGAGTTCATCGATGCTCGCATAAATGTCCGCGTTGTCGCGGTGTGCCGTCGTGCGAAACAGAAGAAGTAGAATTAATTCGATGCGAGCAATGTAAGAGAATGTTTTACGGGCGCGAGTGTTTCAAGCGTCACCGAGCCGAAAAATCGTACGGAGACGGTCTTGTGATCGTGTGCAGCGCCTTGCAATTTTGTGACGATTGCAGGCGTTTGTACAGAACAGTGGGTGCGGGGCACGAATGCGGCGTCGTGTTTTGTAACATTTGCAGTTCGCGTCAAGATGTAAACTATCTTTGTTATATTCGATCTCTTGCACGCGAGGATTTCACCGGCAAAGGGAAAAACGCGCGCGTCGCATTCGTGTTCTACGATTTCGAAACCCGACAGGATGAGACGCTCGAAGATAAAGCGTCTGTGAAAATTCACGTGCCCACTCTTTGCGTCGCTCAGCAGATTTGCGTTGCGTGTGCGGAAGAGGACGACATGACGGTACGTTGCCGGTGGTGCGGTGTGCGCGAATTTGTGTTCCGCGATGATCCGGTGAGGCAATTCGTCGATTTCGTTACGAGAACGACGAAATGTTTCAAGCAGATTATCTGCATCGCGCACAACGCCAAGGCGTTCGACACGCAGTTCATCCTTCGTTACATCACGGAAAAACGTGTCGAATCGAATCCACGAGTAATATTAAACGGGACGAAGATCGTCGTATTAACGGCCGGGCGTACAAAATTTATTGACAGTATCAATTATATGCCGATGCGTTTGTCAGCTCTGCCGAAGGCTTTCGGCTTGCGGGGTGGGGTGGAAAAGGGATATTTTCCGCATTTATTTAACACACTCGCGAATCAGTCGTACGTCGGTCCGTTACCAGCCGTTGAATATTACTTGCCGGATAGTATGTCTAGCGAAGAACGCGAACGTTTTTTGTCGTGGCACGCGGAACAGATGCACGCAGTTTTTGATTTTCAACGCGAGATAGTTCGTTATTGTCGTAACGACGTTGATATCTTGCGGCGAGCGTGCATGGCTTTCCGCAAGATATTTCTCGAGCGCGGAAACGTATGTCCGTTCGAAGAATGCACGACCATCGCTTCCACATGTATGCGCGTTTTCCGCAAAAACTTTTTACGTGAGGGAGAGATCGGCGTCATTCCTCGCGGCGGATATTGCCTCGCGGATACGCAATCCCGCAAAGCTCTGCAGTGGCTGGTGTGGAAGGAACGCGAGCTTGGCCGCATCATTGTTCACGCGGGTCACGGGCGAGAACATCGTCTCACGGAAGTCGGAGGCATTCCCGTCGACGGGTATTACGAGACGGCGAACGGTGAGCGTCACGTGTTGCAATACCACGGCTGCTTTTGGCACGGNTGTCCCGTGTGTTTTAAAACGGAACGCGACAAACGTCTCTGCACTGGGGAACGCGAAGTGTACGACACGATNAACTCGCGATACGAGCGTACACTGACAACGTCATGGCGTCTTTGCAAACGAGGGTACATNGTGACGGAGAAATGGGAGTGTGCTTTTGATCGCGATACGCGGGAAAAACGCGAAATGCGAGCGTTTTTAGACCAACATCCGATGCTCGCGGCTGAACCGCTTTCACCGCGTGACGCGTTTTTCGGCGGTCAAACGGGAAACATCGCGATTCGGCGCGAAGTTACGGGTACGGAGAAAATACGTTAAGTAGTCGTGTGTTTTCTATACCCTTACGTGGTGAAAACCGGCGCTTTCCCGATTGGACATCCGAAAATTCTTGTTGGACAAAAAGAGTGCGCCTCGCTCATCGGAGCGATGCCCGGTGTCGATTTTTCCGCGGTCGAGGAACTTGTGCGTTGTAAAGTGCTCCCTCCGCGCAATCTCTTTCACNCTGTACTCCCGTACCGCGTGCAGGGCAAACTGCTGTTTGCCTTGTGCTGCAGTTGCTGCGAAAACTTCTCGCAGACACAGTGCTCGCACGAAAATTCGCGCGATCGTGAATTCGAAGACGTGTGGGTATCGTGTGAATTAAGCAAAGCTGTGGAGAAGGGTTATCTCGTGACTGCACTGAGCGAGATATGGCAATACGAGACGAGCCGATACGACGCTGATACGAGTCAGGGGGGATTATTTGCCGAATACATAAACTGTTTTCTCAAATTGAAACAAGAGGCGAGCGGATGGCCGAGCAAATGCGTGGACGACCAATCTAAAGAACGATCTCTTCGAGAATACGAAGCAGTCGAGGGTATTGCTCTAGATAGAGCAAACATTGCGCAAAATCCGGATTTACGCTCGGTCGCAAAGCTGTGCCTCAATTCGTTTTGGGGAAAATTCGGGCAACGATCGAACTTGACGAGTACCGAGGTGATAAAGTCGCAGGAACGTCTCGTATCGCTATTGTCGAGCCCCGAGCACGAGGTAAACGATATATTACCTGTGAATGACGAGGTAATATATGTTTTGTGGCGAATGCGGGACGAGGCGGTCGTACCCTCTCCGATTACCAGAGAAACTGTGATTAGAAATAAACTTGTTCTTTAAGGTAAATAAATTCAATAGTAGAACTTTTTCTTCTTACCGACCAACCTCCTCGACATCCAACAAATTTTGGTGGCAGCGGTGGGATCTCTCATTCCGTGTGTCAAGGACGGGACTCAGCAGGAGGTTCCGGTTGGATCAAGAGTAAGGAAAAGAACACTGGGTAAGAAAAAAAAGAAAGAACAGCAATGTTCTTAAAAAAAAATTTATATTTGTAAAATATAAAAGTATAAGTGGAGGAGGTTACTCCATGGGTTTTCTGCTCCTGAAACAAACAAAAATAAACGCAGTCATTAAAAGGTGTGTTGGGAAATCAAGTATAGTGAGGTAATAGTCGTGTTAGGAAATTTGTAAAGAAAGGTGTAATTAGTATAAGGTCGCGTACGTGAAAATTAGGAAGTAAAGCGTAAGATAGTCACGTATGTTTGGTTGAGACACAGTTAAGTGTATTGTAAAAAGAGAGTGTTGCTTGATCAGCAAGGACGGCAGATCCGTCTCCGAGAGCTGATCAAGCAAGGATGATCGAGTTGCGCGATCAACTCGTGCAACGTTGTTTAGGATAAGACAAGGTGATGCTCTCAATTCGATGATATAAAAAGTGATGTGACAGAGTTGAGAGCAGAAGTTCGAGAGCTATCGCCGAGTCGTCGTACTTGTATTAAGAAGCTAAATCGTCAAATAAAGTTTATTAAACTGTTAAGCAAGGCGAAGTTACTTCTCCCCGAATCCAAACGGAAAGATCCTGTAAAAAGAATCCAGTACCGTCGTAGCGGAACAACAGGTGTCTTGCGAACTACGGGTTCGAGAGAGAAAGACACTGCAAACTCACAGTCTTGAGTTACACGGCAACACTGACCTAACGCAAGCTAAGCGGCAAGCAGTGACACAAGGCGGAGATAAGAAAGCGGCTGGACGGTAATAAAAGAAAGAGTTCGAAATCCACCGCCGGAAACTCCGGAGGCAACAAGCAGACAAACAGCTGTGACGGAAGAGCCAGGAAGGGCACTAAAAAAACAGCAAATGGTAGCCGAAATAGCGGTGAAGGCGACAAGGCACCCAACGCAAGCAAAGCAGCGGAAGCGGCGAAGCAGCGGTAGCAGCGAGGCAGCGGTAGCATTGAAGCAGCGAGGAAAGCTGAATCAGCGGCACTACACAGATACAACTACTGTAAGCGGAGATATGGGTCAACTACTGTAAGTCGAATAAAAAGTTTGTAATTGCGTGCAATGTCTATGTTCGATAACTGGCGTATGCGACAACGCGGATTACAATCTGAGCAAGTTGCGCGGTCATTACAAAGCTTATTACCGGTGCGGGAACCGAAAACCGCACCAGTGGCGCTGTATCAAGAAGCAGAAATAAATAGGCAAAATAGGAATTTGTATCCGAATGCGGTTAAAGAAAGAAAATTTCCG